CGGCCTACCCCGCCATTACCGCCGCCACCCTCGGGCCCAGGGCCTGCTCCGCTCCACAAGAGGCCCCCGCAAGTCCCACATCGCAAATGTACGTTTACTGTACCTGGCCACGTACACCTGCTGTGCCCGCTGTCTCTCACGTCACGTCGGTCTGGCATATTTTCAGAATTACTGCATACCAAAGAGCCCGCTCCCCTACTCTTTCTTCCCTTTTATAATTCATCCCGACTCTCACCTTCTGACTCTCGATCTCGATGATCTCTGATGCATTTTAGACTTGCTGTAAATTTTTTGCAGACTTCTCTCCGAATGGTCCCCGAAAAATTTTTGCAGAAGATTAGAAATTCGCAAAGCGAATTCATCCCACAATTATTTTCTTAACTACATTTTCTTTCCCTTTTCCTTTTCGCCGTTGTGCGCGAATCATTTTCGATGCATGATACGATTATTGATCAAACTAGCTAAAAGATCTTGTATATGTGCTGAGTGCATATGGTGCACTTCTTCTCTATCGCCAGACATGGATTTTTATGAATTTATTTTATTGTATTTTCACATGGATTTCTCCTTAAAATTTAAATCTTGTTTCAAATATGTCTACATTCAAATATTTATCAAGTATTGACTCAAGTAATCAACTCAAACTCAAATACAAAGTATATGCGGGTAATGTAAACTCATGAGAAGATATAAAGTTCCGTTTACCGCGAAGTCTAGGTAATAACGGGTAATTATTATAAAGTAAAAAGATAAATTATAAAATAAGATTATAAAAAGATTTTATTATTGACAAAGTTTTAAATTGACTTTTGTTCCGCAAATTACTTTATCAAGAAATAACGAGCTTAACAATAGATTAAATTAATTTTAAAAATGAATTTTTTTAATCATAATTTATTCGTTATTCTAATACAATAAATATTACAGTTAACGTCAACTGAATTGGAATAATTAATTAATGCGTGTATTCGAGCGGTATGAAATATCGTGATAAGAACCAACGTCATCTTACAATTAGTCGCTATAGAAGAAGTGACATTTTCTGGTTGATACAATCCATCTCCTCAACTGCAATTAGGCTCCTGTATATTCGAGCGAGGGCGAACGATTAATCTATTTTGATGACTTTAAGATATATATAGGATAGTGAAAATGTTCCGGCAAACTCAGTTAACTCTTTTAGCTCTGTCAATTTCGTAAAAAATGACGTCAATTTTACTTATCTTCTGAATGATAATAAAGTATAATTTGAATAGCAATATTTAAAACAGTGATAATCAAATAATTATTAAGAGAACTAATTTTTTTTTTTAGAAAACCAATATTGAAGTATAATGATAAAAAAAATTTTTTTTATATCTATAAGACAATTAAAATCACACTAAGGTACTGCCAAGAAAAGATTTTTTAAGATATTCTTAAGACGATTAAAAAAATTTTCACAAAAAGATCAGTCGTTCACTTTTCCTTGGAAGCTTTCTTGCCGCGCCGAGTCTCGCGAGAGCGAAGGAGGCGCGCTTTTCCAATCGATTTCGAAATTCAACTTTCGATGAGAATAATCGCGATTAGACATGTGCGCGCACAAGATACGGCCCAAAGAACTCTATTCATCAATTGTACTGTTTCTTGTACAATATGTTTTAGCCTTCCTCGCGACCACCGCCCCTCCCCATCGCCCTCTTCATCACGCCAAACCCACAACCACTACCAACACCACCAACATCACTGTCACTACCGCTAATAATATTAGCGCAAGTACCGCCCCGGTAAAACGTTCCCCGGTAAAGTATTCGGTTCATATGACCGTCCATCACCCACCTACGTCGGGCGCTGCCGCTGCGGCCAAGCCGGAGCGCGGCGTTAAAGATTTAAGCCAAAGGTGCCGTGGTGCGAATGACGAAGCTCAGGCAAAACTGGCCCGCGGGCATCCAGCAGCTGCGGCTGCAGCCGCCGGCGATGATCCATCATCCAAATCATCCCTCGATACGCGATCCGCGTCAAATCGAGCCGCTACTACCGCCGCCCAAGCTAGTAAGTAGCATGTTGTGCCGTGGCTAAAAAGAGAGTCCCGGTTTATAGTCTCTCGCTCTTTTTTTTTTTTTTAACGTTGTCCAGTCATTTAGCCAGTGTCTTTGCTTCGTGTGCTCGCTGTTCTGTGTATCTATATTATTGATGTAACTTTGTGGTTAATGTGAGACATCTTTGTTTCTGTTTTTTTATGTTTACAAAGTAATTCCAATTTGAATTAACGTACTTGAATATCTCGAGAGCTATCTCGAGATATCGAGATCCAGTTTTTTCAGGTATGGTTTTGTACGACACTTGATAAAAGGGATACCTGATAAGAATTTGACTTGAGTACAGGAGCGTAGTCACTTAATTTAAGCTCTGTTTTCGTCATTTGATCTCCATTGATGTTGGATATATGGCCATTCAATTTATCATGGAAAGATCTACAAACATAGATGTTTAGAAAAAAAACAAGATTTAATTTAAAAAAAATAAACTTAATTTTTATTTCACTTTGAAGTTTATTTCATACTTCTGTCCACAAAGTCAAATTTTTTCATTAAAATATGTTCTATTGAAATCGTACAATCCGAAAAAAATCGGACTTTAGATCTCTTATTTAGTTTCGCAGATATTCATATGCGTTAATTAAAACACACACACACACAACACTCTCTCTCTCTCTCTCTCTCTCTCTCTCTCTCTTTTATTCAATAATCTATACCTTTTCTCTCTCTTTCGTCTTCCATTTCTCTATATATCCTAACCACTGTCCATTGCATGCTAGAGTGTCGATTTAACGAAGTTAGTATTTGGATTCTATAATTACATGATTATTTATTTTATCTCAATTGTTTTGTACTCTGGAAAGAGAGTACGATTACAGAATTTTTTTGGGTGAAAAGTTAAGATAAGTTTCCAGATTCCATTCAGAATCAGAGAATGAATTTACTTCTTTTTCTAGAGAGTTATAGAAAAGAAAAATAAAGTCATTCGTTTCATCATTCATTTCTCATATAATTCTGTATCAAATTTTGTAAATAAAAAAAATGCAAAAATGTAAAAAATGAATGTGGTTATAATTTCAAAAATATATGAAAAGAAAGAACATAAAGAACCACAGCACAAGATGTAGTTAGTGATATTTAATTATTCTTGCATTACGAATTACAATAAAAACATTAAACGTTTCGGCCACAATCTGGCCATCTTCAGTAAAATTAATAATATTCTTAAGACGCAGAGTTACATCAAGTTGGAATCAAATTCAATCCTCGTGTGTTATAATTGTATTATTAAAATCGAAATTTAAAGAATAATATAAAGATTAATAATAAATATTATAATCAATCTAATTATAGATAATCGATGCTCTATCGCACGCATTTCCAATTTATTGTTCCACAACAATTTATTCCTGTATAATGTATTCAAATATATATACGCATTCTTTGTGAAAATTTTACTTGAATCGATAAAATAAACAACGCAAAACAAAAGCATAATAAACCAAATCTACGTCATTGAAAAATGTGTATTAGTGCATTTGTGAAAAAAAGTTCATTATATGAATTCTTTAATTTTGTCAAACATCTTCCTGCGTTGAAATCTTCATGTATGTCTTAACGACCATATAGGATTCTTAACTAGTTAGATACTCTTTGAAATTTTTCAAAACTGCTTTTTATTTGCATTTCATTTTGTACAAAAAAATGAATCGTGACGAATTATTCTCGCAGAGAAACTTCTGTACTCCGAAATTTTTTGAAAAAGACAATATGTTAATGATCATGAACATAATACAATAAACAATTCGATTTTATTACCTTATATGTATTACACTTAGATATTTATAGTGGAAATATTTTATCATACGAAATAATATATATTGTTATTTTTTGTATAGAACAAACTGCACTATCTACGAATTTTTTTCTATGTCAAATGTGTATAAAGGGACAAAATTTTTCAATAATGGAAAGCTCTGGCTTTCTAAATATAAATGCATATGAGAAAAGGCTACACTTTCAATTGAAAGATTACACATTTTTTGTGGGTTTATATCTTTTGCAGACTCTGTTATTTCCGAACGTATTCATTCCATTATTTATTTCCAACTCTGGCTACCTACTATCATTTGATACACGATGTGTATTATAGGTCGCAGTGACTTGCAATTGTTAGTTTTCGTAAGTTTATTTTAAATCCTTAAAATATCAACTAGAAGCTTTTGTATAGAGCGTCTTCTCGAAGACTAGAGATTGACTTCTTGCCTTTAATGATAAAATAACAGTATATATTAGCAGTGCAGCTAAGTACAGTCTTTAACTCGATATTTTCTTTAGAATAATTGTAAAATTAATAAAAACATAGTTTAAAAAAAAAATTTAAGGAAACTGATAATTCTTAAATCATTTTAGCATTTACTTTCAACAGCTTATAATAAATTCTAACATTTTAAATATTTAAAAATACAGATTTGTTAAAATTTCCGAAATAAGAATACATATTTCATGTATGAATTGGAATTTATATTTTTATATTGACATTAAGAGAATAAAAATTTTTCACCAATCTCCATTTTTTACTTTGTTAGACTAATGTGTCATGAATAACTTTCATGAGTAAAACTATTAAATAAGCGAAACTAGAAAAAATTAAGAAAGAACATAATTTTATAAGAAAACTTTAATAGGATTATGTTTATGTCTGAAAGATCTCTCTTTTTCTCTCTTTCTCTTTCCTTTTCTCTCTTCATCAGAAATATATTTCTTCGAAGACAAAGAATAAAATTGTCCATTTCATGCGCAAATTGTGCAATTCCTTCGTGTTATTGCGAAGATATAAACAAATAATGAAGCATGAAGTAGTTTAAGTACGGAAGATCGAGTGATCGTTTCTGCGATTTATTGGAAAAATGATATCATATGTATGTACTTTAAGCTCTTTTGTCAACCTGTTGCGCGGTATATACACGCACTTGCACACTATGACACATACGTGTGTATATATATATATAAATATATGTAAATATATATATTCACATTTTGTGCTTCTCTCTCTCTCTCTCTCTCACACACACACACACACACCCTCTCATCCTATCCCCTTTTTCTCTTTCCTTCCTTTCGCTCTCCTTTTCTCTCTTTCTCTCTCCTCATATCTGTAGCTGTATGTATTGTTGCGTATATCTTTATATTGCATCCTGAGAACGCCAATGTACCTTCCGAGATATATACATTATTAACAGCCTTCGTGTATTCTATATTCACGCTCGAGAGAGAATCTCGCCTGCACTCGATGCCGGCATTAAAATCTTTTGAGAGGTATCGATATGTAAAAATATTGTATTTTAAGAAATCGAAGACATTTCCTATTGATGAGGGGACAAAGATATCTCGTCGCAGCAGCGTAGAATAATCAGCACTTTCAATGTTGAGTAATATTTATCGTAATGACACTTATAAAGGATTACTGTCTGGGGAAACGATAGTTTAAGTGTTTTTCATTAATCCTTTTGCTGCCTCATCTGCTGGTCCATAATTAGTAGACTTATCATAGTATGCAATAGTCAATTAATATATCGGTTTAAGTAAAATTAATTATATATTAATAGCAAAATAATAATATATTTATGGCGTGTAATATATTACAATATAACTTAGTAAATGAATAAAATGTTCAATAGATTTTTCGATATTTTGATATTGCGATTGCGAGATGTTGCAGTGAAAGGTTTATTTTCTTTGTCATTCACGATTAATCACGTCGGATTGTGTGTGTCAACGCCTGGCTTTGGACGTACCAAGCCCACATTCATAACATCATCCAGTTTAATTTCCCACAGCACTCCGCAACAACTCTCGTAACTCTCTCTCCCTCTCTCTCTCTCTCTCTCTCTCTCTCTCTCTTTAGAGAAGTAAATATCCTAAACATGTTGAATTCAGCCCGATAACTGCAACTTTGCCGCTGCGACGATAATGAGAGATACAAACAAACTGTACAACAAATTGTAACCTTCAGTAGTACGCAAATTCTCAAATTAAACTACAAAACTTGAACTGAACACGTTGATTACTTGAACGTAACACGATGATTGCAATCTCAAACATTGTTGATTACCGCATGTTATTTAGTAAACAAGTAATTTCTTGATAATCTACTTATTACAAGTAATAAATAAATTATCGAGAAAGGGGTGAAATATATCGGGTATATAAATTAATCATTAATTTGTCTCATCATCGAGTGCAAGCTTCGGGGAATACGGGGGGGGTGGGAGCCTAGAACGATCATCTACGTCGACGATAAAGCGTTTCGTTTCAAACGTTCCAGTGACGGCGGAACCCCAAGTAAACGGGGATGTCACCGGCGGGGATTCGAGCGTCGCTTCGACGCCACCGTCGCAAACGATAAAGGCAGTGGGACCAGCGCCTGTCACCCAAGCAAGTCCCTGGCTAGACGACGAGCCGGTGGTGAAGAGCCCACCGGAGCCAACGAGAGTAAAGTCTCCGGAGCAGATGATCATGCGCTCGCCGGAACCCGTAAATTGGACCGTGCCCCTCGACACCGGCAAGACTTTCACCGTGACGCAAAATGTCCGGGAAGGTAAGAACTCTTGGAAGATGTGATCGGAAAGTTTCAAGATGCACAAAATATTCTCAAAATATTTTTATAAAATACAAGTATTTTCAGAATATTTAAATCGATAGAAATATATACAGAGTCGATATGAATATATTATACATGGAATATTTGATTTAGAAATTTAGACCCAGACAAAAGGTCTGTTTTCTTTTTTAGCTAAACTTCTTGATTCATCTTTGCAAAAGGTAAACGGTGCAAGAAGTTAAAAGAACATTTCAATTAAAAAGAGCAGGTTTCAGACTACAATACAAACGTACATATATTACTGTTAATGCATAATTTTTTATAAAAATACGTAGAATATTCTATCTAAAAATAATTTTGTTGGATTATCAAAATTATAATTATAAGACGCTTAAGTTGTCTAGAATTGTTAAGGTGTCTAGAATATAAAAATTTTTGTCAGCATTGATCATCATACTTAAGTTTCCTACATAATTATTTTGGTAGTCCAAATTATTTTTATATCTATAGTTAAATTTTAAATAAATAAATTTTAACAAATTCTTTACATACTTTATGTATATAAATTTGTGGTATGTTATGATTTGACATACATAATCCCAAGTAATATTATCATGATCGTAATTCTAATTGCTCTTTTATTTCGAAGAACCTCTGACGCGTCCACATAGTGAGGCGAAGACGTGGGCACCGTCCTCAGTACCATCGGCGCCGCAATCAGCACCACCGGAGCTTGCGGCTCAACACAAATCACAGCATTCCCAGCACTCCGGTTACAAATCACCCGAGAGCGAAAGCGTCTCGCTCGGTAGTTTTAGCGGCATAAACGGCCACAAGGACTTGGACTCGGAGAGGGACAGTCCATTGCCCACGAACGCGCAGGACACACCTACGAAGGATGAGAAGGTCAGAAACTATATCTTTCGATGTATTCGCTTGCATGTATAACATTGAATAAATCGTACTTTCTTTTAAATATAATTAGGGGTTTTCTTTTTATACTTTATTATTATGTGTTCGAAAATATTAAAGTAAGCTAATTGAAAAATGAATATTTTGCAAGACATTTCATATTTTATTACAAAATATATATGAAAAAAGTAAAACACAAAATATTCATGAAAGTTTTGATTGATTTTTTTATGAGTTTAGTTTAATAATTTTATATGTAGAAACCAGAATGGAATCATGTAAAAAATTTTATTTACTATTTAGTTTTAAAAATATCGACATTGATGTTTCATAAAGAACACATAAAAAAATAAATAAGTAAAAATTAATAGAAAATTTATTGTAAAAATGTATTACGTGCATATTTTGTATCTTGTTCTAAATATTCCAAAGACAATAATTTACAATCCAAATTAATTTAATATAAAATATAATCTCATTTATATATTATTTATATTAAAGTATATTATAGTACATATACATAAGCGATTATTACGTTTCACAGCGATAGAGTAATTTACGATAATTCTTTTTGCGTTTAATTTTAGGAGATCGCCGATGTTGTCGAGGAGAAAGAGCGACAAAGCCCGGAATCGTCGATAAAATCAGTGACAGGCACAAACCTGAGACGTCTGGAAGATCCGACGTTCGAGATGGAAAGTAAAAGGGAAGGTGGTATACCGGTGGCGATCACGACAGCGCCGGTGACGACGACATCGTCGACGTCGCCCGCACTACAGAGTTACCGCGTTCTCGAAGCTGAATCACCAGCTCAAGGTACTACTGGCGGTAGCAGTAGCAGCACTGCGGGTACAGGAAGTAGCACCGGAGGTAGCACTGCGGGTGGTTATCACGTTCTGGAAGCACCAACAGTGGTACCAGGCTCAGCACAACGTTCAGCAGCGACTGATGTCTTAGAGAAGGCGCGAAACCGCTTCGACAAGTTCTGGGGAAAGGGCAACAACGGCGCGGAGAATTAAAGCAGTGATCTTCGAAACGACAAGAGAAGAAAAAGACGCTTTGACGAAGAACTACGAACAGTAGAGTAGGGCAGGACAGCCCTTCTGGGAAGAAGGTTATCGTCCCACTCTGCTATGTCCTATCGTCGATTGGTCTGTCCATGTGCTTTCATAGCTTTTAGCTGCTCAGAAAAATATATGTTATACACATGAGAGCGAAAAGGGGAAAAAGAAGTGAGATGATATCCTCGTGAAGGAATTTTCTCAACTAAACGCCGCTTTGATAATTCAAGATCTTCGGGAATAAAATCCTTTTTTTTTTTTACATTAAAATATATTTTGGAAATATTCAAGACTTTTGAGGATTGGAAGAATCACGTTATCATATATACCGATTTTAAATCGGAATTATCTGAAAAAAAGAAACAATCGTCAATAGAACTTTATAGAAAGATAGAAAGAACAACGGATAACTGGTGAGACTAATCGATATTGTTCCTGAAGGTTAAAATTGCGGTCTATAATCAATTTATTCGTTTATTAAGGACTACTATGTAACAAGCATACGGTCAAAACGATCAAAATAACGCTACACATTTCAGATTAAGCAAGATCAGATTCTAAGGCTTTCATGCAGACACACTCGAAAAGGCACAGAAGCTCAAATTAAATTACTGATCATTAATAATAAAAAGCTTCTTTCTCCTTCAAAAGACAGACTGTAGGACAGCGTCGTGAATTTGCGGTCGTCGCATCATTAGTAAAAAAAAAGAGAAATAATTAGACAAGGATACGGCAGGGTGAAGGATTGACGTGAGAAGCTTATACGACGACGGTGCGTGCAGGTTGCGCGTCGGTCTTGTTTCACACTTCGAATGATTCGAAGAACGTAATCATCTAACACTTACACGTGCTTGCATATACAAATACATAACAATTTACACATGCAACACACGCATACATACACACACACACACACACACACACACACACACACACACACACACACAAATATATACACAGAAAATATATTCGCGTCTTTTTTTTCATTCTTTGACTGATTAGCGATCTTATTGCGAGATCTCATTAGATTGTAAAAACAAGATACAATTATATGAGATACATATTAACAAAGATTATATGAGATACATATAAGAAAATCTTTGCACATTCTATCTTGGAATAATTTTTTGCGAAGCGGAAAGATATTCTCTATCGCAAAGTGTTTCTATTAATGTTTTCATTTGTACTAAAATATGGAATAAAACACATTGTAGCAACATATTTTTTCTTCGTGCAAAATTATATCAACAAAATGGATCGTGCAAATATTCTTTTATTCATTGTATACATGATACGCATACACACAAACACATAGACATGCTCATTGACATAGAGAGGGTGTCTAGACGAATATACATTTACATGAAAAACATTAACGTTATATAGGATATTAAAATGATCCCGTATATGCGGGATCCACGTAGTTAAGTCCGAATTCTTTTTCCATTGATAAAACTCGAAGCCAAGTATCGAGCCGACAGGTACAGAAACGGCTTGTCGCTATAAATAAATAAAATCTGAAACGAGTAGCCTTCGAATAACCGCTTCGTGCGTTTTATATAAGTCTATATACGGAATATACAATTATTAATACGTATACACGTATGTATACAATTATGGGATATTATCGCACTCGCGGGTTGTAAACGAAATTCGACATCTCGCTGAGGATTTCTCAAATCGAACTGTTAAGTATTATTATTATTTATTAATTTTTGCATATTTATTTAAATTTAATATATTTAAAATATGTAAAATATTATTTATTTATTTTCTTATCTATATTTATATTTTAACGTATTTTATTATATTTATATTTATATTTTTAATGTATTTTATTAATTTAAAAAATTCTGGAGATTAATTATATTATTTTTGTCATTTATTTTTATGCAAAATACTTTATCGAAGTTATATAAGAATTATATATAGATTGAAGGGATCTGTGGAATCCTTGGCAAAACCATGAACCAGTTTCTTTCGAATAAAGAGATCTCTCTTAACGCACGTATTGTCGTCACGAAAGAATTTACTCCATCTTTAAACCGCATCTCGATCGTTTCACATGTGATTTTATAGACAAGTTTGTTAATTTCCTCCTGAAAGGTTATCCCTTTCCTGAAAGATTATATAATATTATGAAGTAAACAATTCTTCTCGATCGGTTTCAAAATATGATTTTAGATATAATTTCTATGTCGTGTATAAAATTTATTTCTAATTAAATTCTATTTGAAAGCACAGCATCGATATATTATTTAAAAGCTGATAGGGATTGATATTTTTGACAAAGTACAATGCACGGTAATTATATTTCAAGAAATAAAAAAACCCAGGAAGCTTACTTTAAAAAAGAGCAATGATTTATATTAAGTTTTCAGAAAGTTGAAATAAAAATGATACTATGTCAAGCTTAGTGATTGCAAGTGATATAAAGAAATTGTACGATTATATTCGTCCTATAATATTATATTGAAAATATTCCTTAGAACATCTTTAATATAACATTATAAGAATCGGAAACAATTTATTTTCACTTGATTATTCACTATGTATCGCGGTGCAAATGGTCGGGAGATGCGAGTCACAAACGTAGTTTCAAAAAATTCACGGCCCAATTTAGTCTTCACGTATGAAAGGAAATGAATTACTGTAGTGAGGCGTAGTGTTTTTTCACACAGAGTAACATGGCGCATTAAACATCTTCATGATTAAACACGAAATATCGCTATGTGTATGTGATAATGATGATGATAAGAAAGAAGAAGGAGAAAAATATATAGAGGATAGCGATAATGATAATGATGATAACGACGTGATTTGATGTTACACTCGATTGAAAAAAACATCAAATTTATCGAGAATATGCAAATTTCTAAATCGATAGCAAATCGAAATCACGCTCATCAAGAGAGAAAAATGACAAAAAAAAAAACGAAGATTGATGGACGCTACCTATCCGCTCTGCATGCTATGTATTCCGTCTGATTTCTTACGCAAATATATATTCTTTCATACGTTCCTTTTTGAAGAAAACAATGACGACAGCAAAAAAAGGTCTAGACTCGGATCGATGACGAGCGAGGTTCGTTGTTCGGATTTGCAATAAATTTCAAAAAGATTTATCTTATTATTAAAAATACCGTATAATACTACCGTATAATATTTATTACTAAATAAATTAGACTTTTATAAATATAGAATGAAGAAGGAAAAAAAAAGAAATATGGAAAGTATTTATTCAAGATTTTATTGAGAGATCCAATTATTAATTATAAATTATTAATCATATATTTAAGCGTAAAAATTTGATGTTTTACTTAAATACTCCATTTTCATCATTCACAGTTGGATGAATGAACCAAGAAATATTCGGAGAACACTCGCTCGTCCTCGTTCGAAGACGCCGCGAGACAGAAAGAAGATAATGTTGGAGCTTTTCTCTGTCTCTTTCACGCGCGCGCATGGTATATACACCACACTCCATCCAAATCCACGTCCAAAAGCCAATCAACCGTAGTGAAGCAACATATATGTAATGATAATAATGCTAATGATAATGATACTAAATAATACACACAAGACACTAAGTATATGAGAGGAACGAAAGTCAGAACGAACAATTTGACATGAAATTTGACAGATAAGACAAGGATTCGGGCTGGATTCAACACGAAAGAAAACGAGAATTATTATCTCGATTTACTGTTGCTCGGTCCTAAATGTGATTTCGACATAACGATTTCGAATGTAAGGATTAACATTGACTTGATCGTAGGGAAAAGATAAACAAATTTCATCCAGCGCATCTAAAGATTTAGCTGCTGTAGAAGCTTCAAGTTAATCAGTGATTCCCAGATTTTATATTGCGATACAATATAAAGGAATTATGATCAATTTCAATATACTTTAATTTTTTTATATCTATTTTATTGTTTAATTACAATAAATAACAATTGTATTATATATTTTAGTTATTTTAAGAAAAATGTATTGTTGGAATCTTCCTTTTGTGATTAAAATTTTTCTTTTGTAGAGTGTCTACAAAACAATTACAACACTTATTGCTTTTAATATTTATTTTATTTCTCTTACAATAATTCTGAAGTTATTTGGAAAATACAGAAAAATCTGAGGACCACTGGAGGAACATATTACATCTGCATGAATCGCACAGTAGCGCTTCCCGCTGAAAGTCCATTGCGTAAAAAGTCGGCCTAATTTTTCATCCAGAGAATGATCTTTTACTTAACGTATAGGAATGCGATGGCTTATTGAGACATTTTATTGAGTGACAATGTGATCCTTTTTGTACCTTCGCCTTTCGGCTTTCGATGTCGCGTTTGTAACGCAGAATTAAGTATTCTTATTCAACGTTAAAAGAATTGTTAGCGAAATACTAAATTGATGAAAAAAAAAAAACAAAAAAAAAGCATGACACCTAGAATAAGTCGCACGATTCCGATTCGTGAAACTCGAGATAATTCTCCCACTACGGTGCATATATAAACAAAATGTCGATGACCTTTTTTTTTTTTTTCAAAATTGCATCATGAAGTGGACGACATCTGAAATATATTTAAAAAAGATAAAAAAATTAGGACAATTTTCAGATGTTGTTACGACGTCTTTCAGACGTGCTTTTGAATTTAAAAATTTCCTTGATAGGGAGATCATCATAAACTGTTATATCACAGACATGGAACGCTTCGCAGCATCGAGTGATGATGAAAGGGCTGATTGCAGCCCCAAATTCGTTTGTCAATGCAATTCCAATGCAATTATTGCCCTGTTGCGCGAGGGCACCTACTTGGCATTCAGTCTAGTATTTGGGTTGAACACATATCGTTAGCTCTGCTCATGCTGATCTGTTCAATAAGAGGTTTTAATCAATTCAGAGACAAAAGTTCTCTTATCACACTACAAATTTCTACTAAACATTAATAAATTTACTATCACAAAAATATTGAAAATAAATGTTTTATTATACTCGATATGTATTTTATTTTCTTTCAATTAACTTCATCTTGTTTTATTCTACGTTATTTAAGATTTCTCTTTCTTGTAAGCTGACTTATAGAGCCATCGTGATCTTAAATGTATATGACAGCGGTGTTTAATTTAAAATGTTTTTCTTAAACGAGACAGGTATTTCTTTGTTTTCGCAGTCAAGGTCCGAGCGATTCGTCATAAGCGACACTATTGAAGCGAAACTGTGTATATATGGCTTATTGTAACCGATTTTTTTTTTTCAAACATGTTGAAGAAGTATCTCGCAAGCTCACACTGCCCGTCCGAATACAGAAGCAGACCTGTCCTGTGATTTTCAGAACGTCACGCCGCATGAATTAGATTGCGATTCGATCTGTGAGAAACGACGTTTCCCATTTGTCCAAAATGACCAAAAGCGAAAGCAAATATTACATCCATTTAACGACTTCATCGTTAACATCTTCATTAATAGTTCTCCATTCGATTCGATGAATTTATTTGTAAGCACTTCTTAAAATATCAAATTGTGAGGTATCGTTTTTTCTAGATTTGCGAGCGACAAGATACCTAATTTGAAATTCTGGTGTCTGAAAGTTGCCATCGGAGCGTGTTGCGAGATTCATGCGCTCATAGCTATAATTACATACGCTGTGGATGTATATTATCGTTTTCAAAGATACGCTTTTTGCTCTTTTTCGTATTCTAGTCTGAGCACATTTGATTATTGTGATGAAAATGTAGATAGGAAAGCTGTGAAAAGGCTGTCCAAGCGGAATGTACGTAGTTCCTTAAAATATTCTATGTTTTTACCACTCGTTTTCATTGACGAAAGTAGGAAGATAATCGTTATAAAGACATAAATTCTTATCGATTAGCAAGACAGCTTTTTTTCATCGCGACAAATTAGAGTGCTGGATAACGCTAATTGTATGCTGTCTTCTAATTACGCGAAAGTATTAGAAAAGAGATTTCAAGAGAAAATAAGACGTTCCGAAGAATCTAATTGAACATCATTTCCGAAAAGAATCGATTTTGCTAATATAAATGTTATAGATATTAATGAAAAAAATGACGTGTCGTAGAATTGCGCGAAGAGAAAAACCTGAGGTCAAAAAACCTAAAGAATTCAAATGTAAATACATTTCAAATATATAACCAAGTAACATCATCTCAATAACTCCATTAAGAAATTAATTTTCGGAGAATTTAATGTCTTTCGGACATTGCCGAGTGCATGATCGTCAAATTGTCACCTAATTTTCTGCCTCGCCCGTAATATAAGTATAATAATTACCTATTTTATAATGCAACGAAAAGGAAATTAAGAAACGTGATGACAAGAAATATTGTAACAATTAGATGACTGCAAATAATTCTGAATTAATTTCCTAGTGAGAATATCATCGATAACTCGGGCATGGTGTATATGTCCATGGTGAATATTTACACTATGGACTCGGGATTGTTACACGCCTTCACATTGAGAGATTTTATCTTAAACTGTTTTATTAAGAACAATTTATACACGAACGATACGATATATCAATTGAATCATTAATAGACATTAGTGGATAAACCATTAATTAGCTTTTTTACTTAATTTGTCTTATTACAATGTGCAATTATTTTAATCAGATACTTATTATTTTAGTTGTTCACACAATTCAACAAATCTAATGAAAGTGAAAAGCGCTTTAAAGCTTATTACAAAATTAAGTTCTATCAGTCATCCTTATTATAGTATCAAAATATCTCTCTCTTATTTTATATACAACTTTTAATTAAGATTCTTCTGAATTATATTTTCGCACCACACTCTTCAGTATCAAAGTGCAAAGTGTAGATGTGTCAAAATTATAATCCACAACAATCTTACTGTTCATAACAATTTTATTAATTCTTCACACACACACACACACACACACACACACACACACATACTTGTTTACACAACCTCATTTTGTGAAACATACATGTATAGGTATATACAAATATACATATACATATCGTATGTTAAATGTTATATTTTGTAATGTAACTTATTTGTGAAGAATTTTTATTATCATACATGTAGTCTAATTGGCTCAATTAGTATCGATCTGATATTGTTATTGATCTTATATCGTTTAAATATTCACGAAATGTAAAAGATGTATTATTTTTTTGCACGCATAATTCCGCATAAAAGATATACGGCTCGTTATATAAATAATTAAGTTCAAATCGTTTGCGATAACTCCCAAGTGCTTTATCAGACCTTGCAACTTAGAACGACTTGACTCGGTCGAAAAATTCCGAATTTTTGATAAAAAAAAAAGTAGTAATGAACGGAATTATTTTTGCGATTTATTGCCATCGCACTCTAAAAAATTTATATCACATTGCGTCAAACGAAAGAGAAATTTCGCGCAATTTCTTTTCCTATCCGGATTATTTATTGTAAAGGATCTCTCAATAGTTCTAAGATATCCTCTGATGACAGACTCGGTCTTAGAAAGACGACGAATGATCCAGTGATTGGAAATTTTACAGGAGTTCGGAAAACTTTTTCTCTCTGCGATTTAATTTTTCCTTATAATACACGGATTTTTAAAGCGCTTAATTCGCGGTCGGCAATTCATTAGAGAAATAAAGGAAAAAAATATATACATATATAAACACGGGATGAAATCATTAAAACTTAACGTATACATAACGAGCATTATAAACGCTATGGTATTTTTGCGTATTCTACACACCGTTCTTCTATATTTTTACCCCTTCCTCCTCCTCTTCCATTTTCCCAGTCACTCACCCCAAGAAACATTGCGTTTGTACTATCCGATGGCATCATAGAAAAGGATCATTTATTACAATTGCAGATTATTATGGCTATATATATTATATAAATATATTATATATTAGAAATTGTGAAATACTCGTAATAAAAAAACACGCCGACGCTTCCTGTGATTTCTAGACTATTTTAATTGTTACGCTGCGTGCCCCCTACTTCGAATATATCCACATGTTACGACGAATCCTTTCCTTCCTTCAATCAATAACGAGAGAATAGCGAAGAAAAACTAAATGTATTTATATCTCACTGTTATTTGAAATTAAAAATCGATGTTAACGAGCACGAGAGTGGCATGGCAAACAACACACTGGTCTATCATGCCAGAAGTCCCGGGTTCAATCTCGATAGCAATCAAATATTTACGCTCGTATTTCTTCTCGAAAAAGGCCGGCAATCTCCAGAGAGTATCCTTCACAGAAATTTCTCTCGAACAATCCGCCGTTCAGAACCGGCATTAAAATTGTAGGCTCCATATACTCGTGGCAAATAATCAGCGTACTACAAGCATATGAGAAAGGTGTAACACAGGCCAGAAGTCTAATAGAACAAGAACAAGAAGAGCGATGTTATGGAGAATTTGTTCTAAGAAAAAAAAAAAATAAAATAAAATAAACTAATGTTATTTATTCAATCTATATTATGTTTAGTAGTGAGTCACATACATGTACGCACAATCTTTTCTCATTGTTAGTTTAATTTACGCATTAATCGGTTTTCTCCAAACAATGATATTAAAATTAACTGAGAAATTATAAAGAATCTTGCATAATTTAAGTGAACTTGCAGTAAATAGGTTTTTAGTTTCTCGGCGCTTAATTTACCTTTTGATTCATCATTTTCTGTGAAATCGACTTTAAAAATATTACTATAATGTTTAACATCTTCATTTTCAACAGCAGTTTTCACATAATTTGGCGACATATTTACATTCGACTCTAGCATATACTCGGTGAAATGCCTTTTCAACTCTACTTGATTAAAGCTTTGAAAATGACAGATATTAAAAAAACAGATATAAAAGAGTCAAGATATAAAAAAAAATTTTTTCTGAAACATGCAAGTATTTATGCATCAAAGAACTGATCGTCATTATTGTCCTCTTCGCTATAGTAATTGTCACCATTCTCGAAGTATTCATTTGCATAATCAGTTCCATCATCCATCTCATCTTCCTCATCCTCCTTTACACCATCTTCCTTTTCTTCATCATTCTCCTCTTCATTCCCTTCTTCTTTATCTTCCTCTTCGACAGGATGTTGCATATTTTCTTTTTTTTCCAATTCTGACAACTTTTTCACAATATCCATATTCTTTTTCTTCTTATTTCCTTTCTGTTGTCGGAGTTTTCGTTTTTTCGACGATCATGGTACGCCTCATATTTCGATTCATCATTGTCTGTGAAATCTTCTTTAAAAGCATCGCTGTATCGTTCAATATCTTCATTTATAACAGCAGCTTTCACATAATGTGGTGACTCTCGCACATATTCAGTGAAGTGCCTTTTCAATTCTATTAGATATTCCATCTCGCTAGTTATTTGAATAGGTGGAGGTTTGTGATCCAATGGAGGATAACTTAAAGATGGTTGCAGAACTAGTGTTGATAGTGTTTCTCCTTTAGAGATGCCCAACTGTTCCATGGAAAAGGACATAGCAGACTTTCCTCTACCGCGTCCTGCCATTTTGTTCTTGATATTGCTTCTCTCGTTTCCTGATATAATATATTAATTGATAAAATAATATTTTAATAAACTATTTGGACATTAAAGTTAAGGATCATACAATATTTCCAAGCAAGTTATATAAGGAAATTAGATCACAATTTATATTCAATAACCAAATAACTTTACAAATATATGTTTGGATTCAAAATCAAAATTTCCTTTAACAATAAGAAAGTAAAAAGAATAAATAAAATAAAAATGATCAAAAATTATATAAAATTTTAATAGTTAGATTAGATAAAAAAATAATAAAATTTAACGCCAAATTACTAAATTATTAAAATTTAATTGCCACAATATGAAAGTGATCAATCGTATTTAAGACCACTCTGTTAACTGCCCAGCAAACGGAATGGATTAAAATGAATTGAAATTTTTTTCTATCCAAATGTGTAAAATATATATATAAATAGCGAATACTTTTTTTAGATTTAATTGGATTCAATTGGATTCAATTAGATTCAATTGGATGCAATTGGATTGAAAAATTGCATTTCCTATTTAAAATTTTGAATTGAACAGTATTTACAATGTGTGTGTTGTACACAGAAAAAACTAATATTATTTTTAGATTGAAAGGCATAGAGATATGCTTCATGCAATTCCTATAAATGAATAAAAATGCATTCAGAATTGAAAAGCATTCATTTTAACATTCGTGAATCAATATTTCTGAAAATCTGAATCCATTTCAATTCATTTCAGTCCATTCTCATTTGCTGAGTGACTGAATACAAAGAAATCAAAGATAACAAGATAACATAAGGATACAAAAATAAACACTCATCTGGACAGACATCTATCTCTATGACTTTTAAAATAATCAATGAATCATAGTTTCATGTCTCAAAACTTTTGTTTATTTTGGCGTAAAATTATATTTTTCTAGCACAATTCTAACTTAACTATCTCATAAAATTTTCGAAATAACTTTTTTTTACCTTAAACTTGTTGAGTTGCTAATTCTTTTTTATCGCTTTTCTTTTCAAGCTCTTCTTGCTTAATACGAAAGACCTCCTTATCGTAAATCACTTTGATCACGAGAGAACACGAGGGACACGTAACCTCTTCTTCGCCAGCGGCCAGATCGGAAAGAGATATTTGGAATTGATCGCCACATGGACAGGGATAGTAATAAACTTCCTCGTCCTCGTCGTACTCGAAATCTTCGATTTCTACTTCGTCATAATAGTCTAATCGTGACATCGCTCATTACAATTCAATGTTGGCTCCACGAGACAGGACTTTGAGCGAAACTTCGCACGCGGCACGCTACGCATTGCTACGCATTTTCGTACGATTTGGCGGAGTGGGGAGTTTCCGGGTCTTCGCCAGCGAAGCTTTGCGGTATAGTGTATGAAATTGTAAGCCAATCTCGAAATGTCATTTTTAAAATTGATACATCGAATTGACTAATGGAACAAGCTTGCGATCTGCAATCCGTATTCTGTGTTTAAACCCGACCACAATCAAAATTGCGATCTCACGTTTTAAAACGCTCGACTGTGATTGGCCGATTTGCTTACACCTTACGATTACGATTAAAATTTTTGTATGATCTCCTTTATGCAGATTAGAGAGACTTTAATGTATATCGGACTTAAATGCTATCTGAGTGACTTCTGAACGCAGCCTAGCATGTGGCTACATCAGCTGATCACAGCATCACAGCTGATTTTGCGACCTCTCGAAGGTCATCTTGTGTTATGTATTTTTTGTTTCAATAAAAAAGGCCGGCTTTTAAAAGAGAACTCAAGGACCACTGAAGGACATCAAGCTTAATTTGACAAGAAGAATGAACTGTTGATTATTCAGGTGTTACACATGAAATATGATATTCTAATTACTTTATTGAGATATGATATAGAATGCATAGATATAATTGTTGATAATAAAATGAATTCTCAAATGATATACTGAGAATCTATTAATGTACTGAGAATCTATAGCATATATAACTATAGATTTGTAGTATTGTAGTAAATTTCGAAATATATCTATATCACATGAGAATTTGTTTGTAGGTGTATTAAATCAAAAATAGCTTGTACACATTTTGAAAATGGCTACTTCAACGACAACACCGTTGAATGCTACGAAGAGGTCTGTAAGATTTGTTATATTGAAAGAAATGGTTGATGCGAAAGATTTTTAATAAAGTTTATTTTTTTTCTTATATTGCAGAATTACGCAAATCAGAAATATAAGACAAGGCAGTGTGATAGATATTGACGCTGAAATGTTTCTCAAGATATCTAATTATGAGGACACTGTTAAACAATTGGACATATATTATGGAATCGTTAAGAGACAATTACTGCGCTATCAGAGCTGCATAACTGGCTTGTTTCCACAGATTTCAAGCGATCGGAAGGTTGGTAGTGTACGCGAAAGTATATATTGCGCAGCTGCCATATGGAGTTTGTATCAAGCATACAGACGTATAGATGATGATCGTGGAAAATCATATGAGCTGGGACAGTCCACAATAAAGTGCATGCGGGGTATCTTGGAGTGTTGGATAAAACAGTCTTCCAGAATAGAACTTTTTAAGAAAAATCAATGCGACCGTTATGCTTTACACTGCAAGTTTCATTTGGATACTGGCGATGAAATCTACAAGGATATTGATTACCATCATTTACAAGTAAGCAATAATAATATTACATTTTTGTGAAGCATTAATAATTTCAATGATACAGGAAATATATATAATAATTTATATTCACTTAAACATATTATAGTAAAATAGGACATAATTATGGTGTTTTCAGTACTATTGTATAACAATTGAAAATATCTTCTTAATTATTGCAAATATTTATTCTGTTTAATGTAGATAGACATCGTATCTCTTTACTTAATATTCTTAGTGCAAATGATTTCCTCTGGGCTACAAATTATATATACGCAAGACGAAGTGGCCTTTGTGCAAAATCTGGTATATTATGTCGAAAGAGCGTACCGTACACCAGATTACGGTATGTGGGAACGTGGAAGTCGATATAACGATGGAACACCTGAGATTCACGCCAGCTCCATTGGAATCGCCAAGAGCGCATTAGAGGCAATTAACGGCTGTAATTTATTTGGTGAAAAAGGTGCATCTTGGTCTGTGATATACGTTGATATTGATGCTCACAATCGCAATCGTAGTATTTTCGAAACAATGCTTCCAAGAGAATCCAGTTCGAAAGTAAGCAATCTCTTGTGTAAAATACTCGGACCAATTTTGATAAGAGATATGTAATTTCTAGAGTGTAGACGCGGCCTTGCTGCCAACAATATCCTTTCCTGCCTTTGCAACTCATGAAGAAGTATTGTACAATGAAACAAAAGCGAGCATAGTTCGCAGGCTAAAAGGCAATTATGGTTTTAAACGTTTCGGAAGAGACGGTTATAAAACTGTATTGGAGGACAAACAGCGACGATATTACAAATCTGGGGAGATCAAGGTTCTAAAATTTATAATATTCGTTCGTCGCATATAAGAACTACGAATTTTAATACAGTAACTGATGACTTGTTTCAACAGGATTTCGACAATATCGAATGCGAATGGCCATTGTTTTACATTTTTATGATAATAGATGGTGTATTCAAGAGTCTACAGGAACAAGTGGAAGAATATCAAAATTTATTGAAAGCAAGAGTGCAAAAGGATTTGAATGGAGGTTCTTGAATATTTAAATAATATCTCTAGTTTTATTCAAACAATGCCTATAACACAAATAATGTTTTAAATCTTTGATTATACGCATAATTAAGAGACACATAAATAAAATTTGTTTTGCCTGGTATAGATCCGATCGTTCCTATGTGCTATTATGTACCCGTGGAAAATTTGGAAACTGAAAGGAATGAGCCGTGCAGTGCTTATCGGCTACCCAGTGATGAAGGGAGAGGCCCTAAATTTATGGACGATGTTACGCCAATATATTTATGGAATCAAGCTATGTTTGTAATTGCGCAGCTACTCACTGCTGGTCTTCTGCACATCAACGAATTAGATCCTATTCGTCGATATCTTCCATCGTATAATCGTCCGAGGCGAGCAGGAAGATATTCTGCTTTCCAGGTAAAAGAGAAAAAAAATTATATTTCAAATATATATAAATTCTAGATTTTAAATAAATACATGTATTAATCTATTACTTTGCTTGATTTGAATAATCGTATCAAATCTCCCAAAAATATATATTTATCTTACTAGACTTAAATATATATAAATTTATTTTACTAGACCTTTGTCCTGAAATTAAGCGATACATTATATTAACTTTTTAATATAAATTGTGTGTACTGTCTCACAATAATTTAGAGAGATATTTGTTTTAAATTTAATTAATTTTTGTAACTCATAATTAAAAGTTAATAAATAATAATAAAAATTAATAATTTATTTATATTTTCTTTTTTTATTTACACAGGCAAAGCCTACTATTGTAAGTAATATAAAGTGTATGCCTGCTAATATGATAGTACAGTGTATGTAACAATGCATTTATTTTGACTTTTAATGATTTATTTATGAAGTTATGCAATGTATAATCTTAGCATGTAATATTGCAGAAAATCTAACACGTGTTTTTTATTTGTAATTATTATTTATTTCATCGGCTTCTTAAGCTTATTATGAATTTACACAATTATATATATGCTAGTTAAAATTTCAAAAAATGGCTGCTATTTTTATTTATACGACTAAATATCCTTATGCTGCATGTAATTTAGCACTGTTATATTTATGCCAGGGCACTCATACCGACCTAGTAGTACAAATAGTTCTGATCGCAGAATCTATGCGATTGCAAGCCATGATGGCCACATATGGCATTCAGACACAAACGCCGCATGAAGTCGAGCCCGTTCAGATTCTGTCGTCCACTCAGCTAGTGAAGGTTTATCAAAAGTTAGGAGTGAACAAGAAGTTGAATCTTCAGGGGCGACCAGCACGGCCTATAGGCTCTTTAGGTACAAGCAAAGTATGTGAGATTTTATATTTTTTCCTTAAAAAAAAATAGAAGCTTGTGTATGTATACAATGATATATTTATCATGTAATATATAAAATAATAAGGCAAACAAATTCTTTCTCATATATAGGTGTACAGAGTCTGTGGTATGACAGTACTATGTTACCCTCTGATCTTCGAAGTCTCTGAATTTTATTTGTATAGAGACATGGCTCTACTGATCGATGATATCAAAACGGAATTGCAATTTGTGGGCAAGTACTGGCGTCTTTCTGGTCGACCCACTGTATGCCTTTTGATACGAGAAGAGCACATGCGGTAAGTTTACACATTATGGATAGATTGCAAGAATTAACTTATCTTATCAAAAATATGTTTAGAGATCCACAATTTAAAAAGATGTTAGACCTCTTTGCGATGTTGAAAAAAGGCTATTGTGATAAGACGAAAGTACGCATCGGCCGGCTGCAAAATTTGATTTCATCTTCTTGCATCGGTAATATTTCATATAAGATTAATATCTGCATAAATCAAATAGTGTATAAAAAAACTGGCTTGATTTTAATGTTATTATGTTTTATATCAAAATTTAGCATAATTTTTCAAATGATGTATTTTTTAATATATATTAACATTTTTTCATAATATTAAGATGTAATAAATATTGTATAATTAATAATAATATTTATCTTTTGATTCATAAAAAAAAAAAGATAAAATTGAATCACTTCTTTTAAGATTGGGCTACTTTTTCGTGCACCATTATACATGATGTTCACAATAATATTCATGTTAATTATATACAGAGCACTTGGACTTCGTAAATAGTATGGAAACAGATCTGGACTTGACACAGTTTAAACAATTGCAGCACGATTATATTGGTTATCAGAGTCTCACGGATGTTCCAAAGGCCATCGCTTATTCTGAAAGCTTTAAGGATTATTCTGTATGCGATCATGTTAAAAACTTAAATTTCTGATCGATTGAAAGCAATTGGTAACTGATATTCTATGTTTCCAGTATATGTTAAATGAATCTCTTGGCAACATATTAAACGAACTTCATAATAGCATTGGCTTGTACGCCAAATGCCAATTGTATGGTATTCTGATAAAACGAGAAGGAATTAATTACGAAATCAATGGAGTGACAGGTATTTTTCTTCTTCCCTTATTTGTAAACCTTACCTTTTATTTATCACCTTTTATTTTGGATATACATCCAACTGTATTTTTTGATTTTTCAGTTCGTGATAATTTGAGATCATTATATCAACAAGCTGGATCCTTAAGATTCTGGATGGCCGTACGTTATTGTAGCAGTCTATTACATCACACAGTAGATAGTATCAGTCCTTTTATCACGGGTGTACTAGTCAAAGGAAAACAGGTATTAAAATAAATAGACTCTAAATTTGAATTTTAACTCTAAAATATTTTAGAATTTTAAAGTATATTGGAATTTATTTATTTATTTATTTTTTAAAGTATATTAGAATTATTTTTTTTTTAAAGTATATTAGAATTTTAACTCTAATTATTAATGGTTAGATCGCGGTGGGAGTGATTGGACAGAAAGAAACGGTATTTGATAAACCTATGACACCGACGGAAATACAATCAGTAATGTATTCCACAATACAACCGCACAATGTGGTACAGGCTGTGCTCCAACAAGAGATCCTATTATATTGCGGTAGACTTATCGGCACTAATCCAGAGATGTTCAAAGGCATATTAAAAATACGCATCGGGTATATAGTTTTTTAATAATACTTTTTAATTGTTACTATATAAAAACATTTAATCAATATTTGAATGTTTAGATGGGTCTTGGAAGCGATGAAACTTTATTTGCAGATGTTTGTGAAAAATACCAAGCCGATTGAGAATTATAGTCCTTATGAAGTCCGACAATTTCTTATTAAAGTATTGACAGTAAAAGAATGGGCTCATAAAGAAAAGTATGAATAATAAAATTAGCCATTATTTTTAAATATATTCAATATTGATTAATATATCTATCTATTGCCGATAGCCTGACAGTACTCGGTCGTCGAAAAATCGAAGGTTGCTTGTGTAGAGTACCGGCACACTTCTACAATCAAGTATGGGAAGTCTTGATGCGCTGTCCTGGTGGTATCGTAGTGAACGGTCGGGAACTTCCTCAGCAAACCACATTGTCCAGCATGACTCGTTCTGAACTTACATTTGCCCTACTCGTAGAATCCTTGTTGCATCATATACAATTACCAGAATATCGCCAAATCATAATTGAAGTAATCAATTTTTATATCTTTTTTTTTTTGCTTTTTACTATTTCTATATACGAAACGTGTTGAAAATATAATAGAACACAATTAAGCAGCATTATATTAATCTTTAAATGCCTGCCGACATTTTTTTATTAAAATAGTGCTTTTTTCTCAAAAATTTTTCTATATAAGTAACACACACATAGCGCAAAATTTCGAAATTTGTGCAGAGCTACAAAAGTAGCTTTTCCGGCAAGGAACATACGATAAAAACTGTTTATTTTCTCAAAAATAATGTATTTTGCGCTATACGTTTATATTCATTTATGTTGTCAGTATTGCCCTAAGTGCAATATTGACAATATAAATGAATATAAATGTATAGACTCAGAACTTTCCTTTAGCGTTACCCAGAGCTAACGACGTGGACGTAGAAAGTTTGTAGCTCCTTTTTTTTTATTTGATTTTTTAATTTTGTATTTTATTTTTTTACTTTTTTCTTGTTTTATTATTTTTTGATTTTTTGTATATTTTTCAATATATATTTTTATACATTTTATTTTTTAATACATATATATATCATGTAAAACAAAAACATTAAAAGACCTAGTTATTACTGAATTTACATTAAATAGGTACAAAGAGAAATAATAACTTATTTTAATTATATGATTACAGCTTTTAAGTATTATATCAACTATTCTACTTCGAAATCCAGAATTAAGTTTCCAGAAACAACTAGATCTAAATCAACTCGTGGAAGATAGTTTTATTATGTACTGTAAGGTAATACACATGATATTATAAAAGTAATCTTCTAAAAAACTTTTACATGTATTATATATATATGTATTATATATATGTTCACAGGATCACAATTTATCAAATGTCGATGACAAATCGTCATTCTTCTCTGCGCACTATTCAATGACCGCGGGATATCTTGCTAGAGCCATAGTCAACAATGTCCTTACTGGTGGTTGCGTGACAACTATTGTGGATCCCAGTGATGTCCTTGAATCGCCCCGAGAAATGTGTAAAATTACATAACGAGACATATCAGATATTATCGAAACTAGATTTGAGAGATCATTTAATGTTAGCAAAAAAATATTGTACATGCATGTAATATAATATATCTCGCTATGTATATATGTATAATCATGTTTATATAAAGCGATGATATAATATTCCGGCGAAGATTTAATGCAAAGTTCCTATTCCTAGATATTATAATAATAATAATAATAATAATAATAATAATAATAATAACAACACAGATAATGTAATAATAAAAAAATAATATATTTTAATTAAATACATTTTACATTTATGTCGAATTTTTGCATAAAAACATGCTAATACTATGTAACTGTACAAAGTATACATTAATTGAAGTTAAAATCATCTTTTAGCGAAATTTGTGTCCATTGCTCGTCCGGAACGTTGTATATTATTAAGGTTAGCTTTGATCCTAGACGCGACGGTACCCATTTCTGTTGCGATGACTAATTGTTTTCTGCAACAAGCATTTAATTTTAATTAATTTTAATTCATTAAAAAAATATATATACAAAGATGTACATTTGAAATATATTTATTACATGCGAAATATATTTAATAATGTACCTGATGAAATCCTTATTATTCAATGTAATATTTTGTTCTTCTTTCTTCTCTTGTTCACGATACATTTTCACGTTTTTCTCTCTTTCTTTATCACGCCACACTGCGTTTGCCATCATCTCTTTTCGCCGCTGTTCCTTTTCCTCTTCAGTAAGACTTGGTCTTGTTTTCGACCTGTATTTTTCTTCTTGTCTATCCTTAAATTTAATGTGATCGGTATTGGGGATAGATCTAATAGCTGATGTTCTTCCGCTATTAAATATCTATAAAATAGAATATATTTAAATAAAAAATTTTGCTCTAGATTATTATAAATAAGATGTTTTAATTTTCATCAAATTTGTATTTAAAAAAATATTATTTCTTCTTTTCTTAAAACGGCACAAAAAAAAGAATATATTTTAATATGTTTTAAACTATATTTTAATTAGCTTATTCATAAAATTTATATCGCATCATTAAAAATTAAAAGCTTTCTCACTCACTGTTCTTTCCTTCTCCATTGAGTATCTTCTTTTATCATTGTATTTATTTCTCGAATCATCTCTTTGTTTACTATCGTATCGTGGTCGTTTATTATCTTCTTCTCCATGCTTTTGACTTCTTTCGTATTTCGAATTTCTATCTTCACTCAATTTTCTTTTTCGATCTTGATTCTTGGTATCATCTAATCTTGTATCGTTTCTCGAATATTTCCTATCATATTCCGTCTCACGTTTAGTGATGTTCTTACTATTACTATCAGTATTATCATCACTATCACTTTTACTTTTCTTTTGCTTTCTTTGTTTGTGTCGTCTTCTTTTAATAGAAGTGTCATCATTGCTGTTATCTATTTCGCTGTCAGAATCATGATGCTTCTTTGACTTTTTCGTTTTATTACGTTTTATTTTCTTCATCGATTTTAGCAAATATTTTTCATTGATATCTTTCAATTGTTTATATTTAGTGGCTAATAAAACATCCAACTTAGCCTCATCCTCGCTACTATCACTCTGCATCAACTTATGCAGCGACTTCTTTTTCTTTTTATCACTTTTAGTTTTGGATGGTTGCTCAAGCTATAAATTATACATACAATAATTATAAATCAAAAATAATAATAAAAATAATTATAAATAAAAAATAAAATATAAGAATATACATAAATAAATAAAATATAATAAAGTA